CATGATAAGGAGTCCGACAATGAATACCAACACATACCCACCTAACATCTATTAATAACTATTAATAACTAGTAATTAACAGTGACCACACCCACCCATAACAAGTTATTCTTATCAACAATTCAAGAGGGCAGTGCTATACCAAATGAAGCAGCTCTTGGTCCATCAGGGTTACCATACATGTACTTCTCCCAGTTCTCCCTAGCCTCCTCTTGAGTCAAACTACATCAAACAATTACATGTACATGTATATACACTGGTTACTGTGTTAACTGCTTTTATATATACATGTATGCATATCATGATAGTCTCTTTATGGAGGGACTTATGTTTCGTAAACTTTAGCTATTTTAGTGAATACCTCAGGGTCCCCTCCTTTATCAGGATGATGGGTCATACTTAATAACCTGTACTTCTTCTTGATCTGAGACACAGTAGCTCCCTAAAGAACTGATCCATTAAACACAGCTGCATATTATGATACTGTCTACCCTGTCAATCCCTAGTATTTTTAATGGATCCCATTCTTCAGATTCACCAACTGGCTCTTGTGTCACTGCCCAATAAATCAACCAAAATAAGAACAACCAGCACACCAATAATACTAAATAACAAACAAACAAACAAACAAGAGACTAACTGATAATTATAGACAATCATTACTGTACATGATCCATACTAATGCAATACCGTATAGCGGAAAATTTTCATGGCCCAAAATTTCACAAATCATTTCAAAAAATCAATTTTGTCACTTTAATTTTTGCAGTTTTCTACTTTTCAGCCATTTTGCACCCGTATTAAATTATATTTTGCAGATTTTATTGTCTGTGAATTTTGAAAAAAAGCAAAATTCACGCAACTTTTGGGCCACAAAATTTTTTGCTATACTGATGGTATTTGATATAAATGACATCATTAATATTTACTGTATTATTTTTAATAGTTTATCTATAGTCCGCCTCTTCTCCAGTTTATTTCTTTTCTGACAACATGGCCTGCACTGACACTCACTCCCTCTGTCATGAAGTGTCATCTCCTAACAATGACATTAATAATTATTCTAATTAAAGCCCACAATATAGTACTAATTCAGTTCCCTTTTCTTGCTCTTAGGCCAAAGGAAGTAAGTTATAACTAGTAGGAATATCCCGTAGAGAAGGACTATGATATAAGAAAAGGCACCAGTGCCCTCGTCAAACTCTATCTGAGCCATCAAGAGTCAATGGGTGTGTTAATAGTGAACGTCTGAATGACATTTAGGACACGTGTGTACACGTGGTTGCCCCTATATTATGTTTATTGTTAGACACGCCCTATCACTTTTAGAAAGACGCACTGCTGATCAAGCTGCTGCTGCTGCTCCTGCTAGGCTAACTGTTTTGTTTGTCACTTTTCAATAAACATCTTGATAGTGCACTAACCATGGCTACTCGTAGAACTCCAGTAAGTATATGTAGTATCAGTAGAGGATATGATTAAGGAAGTGGATATTGGTCCGGCAGCCGGACGCCTACTGCGGGGCTATAGATCCGGCAGTCCGTTGTTCTCCGTAAAACAGCTTGTGCGCATGCGCAATAGTGCAAAATGGAACTTAGTTTTTTTTTTATCAAGAAACCCTAATCCCAAAAGGGCCAAAACCCTACAATCCCGGAGGCTAAGATGTACGAGAGGGTGCTCTAAAAACTAAACACTAAACCCCAATCCCAACCCTACGACCCCGGAGGCTAAGATGTACGAGAGAGTGTTTATTTTAAAAAAAAGTGATTAAAAAAAAAAGAAAAAAAAATCAAACATTTCAGCATAGTTTTAGTCAATAGTCCCGACAGGATTCGAACCGCTGACCCCATCCGTGCAATCCAGACCAGCCTCTCCACTACACCACAACAACCCTGCTGCATCAGTTGCTGATTGTCGTATTTATACTTGATATCTGTATATAAAATCGTGTATGAGTATACTGGGGCGAAGCCCCAGTATACTATATAGGGACTGCCGGACCAATAGCCCCGCAGTAGGCGTCTGGCTGCCGGACCAATATCCACTTCCTATGATTAATGTATTGTAGAGTATATTGTGTGTTAGTGAAGATAATGTAATGTGTACTGTTGATGAGTGTTTGATCTGGAGCAGGATCATACCCTCAGTATACAGTCTCTCCTTTATATAATACCCATTATACACTGCCGTATAGCCGGTAATTTTTGTGGGTTGCAAATTTTGCAGATTCCTTCTGAACATGATAAAATCCTCAAAAAACCTGCATGACACATGTGGTAGAATTCATAATATTTAAATCCGAGAAATGAAATTTTAGGAGATTTCGCGAAATACGTATAGACCCACGAAAATTACCGGCATGTTATTATCATTTGTGGGAAAGGTATAAGGCCAGGGGGATACAGGGAAAGGGAGGAGTCCCACCTTTACTCTATAAGTTACCCTAAGCATACAGGACTGGCCAGCAATAAGTTGACATGTTTAAGTTGAGTTTGAGTTTGCTATAGTTTTCATATGGTTAATGCTCAAATGTTATCACAATCTCAGGTAAAAGTAACTTGTGTATATTATATTCGAACTTCATGTGGTGGCTTACCTACAAGTACATGTAATATCACGTTTTCATTGCATTCACCAAACGAGTTACTCTATAGATCAGGGATCATAGGTTTGTCCAGTTACCAGCGCTGTACATGGTGTGGCATGTATCATTGTTTCCAGTAATACATGTAGAGTTAATATTTCCTCTTGTACCTTATGATAGCATACAGTGTGTTACCAGAGCTAGTGTTACTGTATATCAGGCAGAGTTTCATGTAGTTCTTTTCATTCTCATTCCTTCTGGAATGAATATTCTCCAAATGAAAATAAGTCATTCCTCAATGTTACGTGTACAAAATGACAGCTCAGAACTTAAGTTAAGCACCTAACTAATCTAAAATAAAATAAAGAATGGTCCCAATGAAGTATCC